CCGAGCAGCTGCATTCAAACCTTACATCACCAAGTACAATGCAAAGCGTCAGATGCAGTGGTGTAAACCACGCCGCCACTGGACTCTAGAGCAGTGGAGACGTGTTCTCTGGAGTGACAAATCAGGCTTATCTGTCTGGCAATCTGATGGACATGTCTGGGTTTGGCGGTTGCCAGGAGAACGGTACTTGCCTGACTGCATTATGCCAAGTGTAAAGTTTGGTGGAAGGGTGTTATGGTGTTGGTTGTTTTACAGGGGTTGGCCTTGGCCCCTTAGTTCCAGTGAAGGGAACTCTTAAGACATCAACATACCAAGACATTTTGGACAATTTCATGCTCCCAACTTTGTGGGAACAGTTTAGGGATGGCCCCTTCCTGTTCCAACATGACTGGGCACCAGTGCGCAAAGCAAGGTCCATAAAGACATCGATCTCATCCAACATCAGTGCCTGACCTCACAAATGTGTTTCTGGAAGAATGGTCAAACCTTCCCATAGACACACTCCTAAACCTTGTGGACAGCCTTCCCAGAAGAGTTGAAGCTGTTATAGCTGCAAAGGGTGGGTCAACTCAATATTGAACCCTACGGACTAAGATTGGGATGCCATTAAAGGTCATGTGCGTGTAAAAGCGGGCATACTAATACTTTTGGCAATATAGTGTATATTACAAACTTAAAATACAAGTATCTCCAAGTATATCGTATCAGTGATGGATGGAAAAAGAGAGAGTTTCTTCCCGGAGTGTTTCATGCACATGCCACTTCCTCAGGAGATTAATGGAGAATGTCACTCATGTACAGAACAAAAAATGACTGAAAAATTTAAGGCAGGCATTCCAATACTTTTGACAATATAGTGTATCTTCCATCACACAAGGTACCTTAGAAACATGCATGCTTTGCTTCAAAGACTTTAAAGTATCACTAAAGACAAAACCTTTTAGTTTTGGACAGGATAGAGATGGATTAGAACACCCCTCAGTGTTTATTGCTATCTGTGCCCCCATTAAGGACATTTACCCTCTCTGTTTGTCTTGATTACCATTAGCATAAAAAAAATGAAAGAAAATCCCAAATTTTGTGTTGACAGCAGAACAGTAAAAGAGGGGAAATCTTCCAATGGGGGCACTAGTTCTGGTGACCCTGGTGGGTGACACCCCAGGATTCCCTCACTTTGGAAGGATTTTCTCTACCTTCCTATTTTGGCAGTGGGACAGGAAGTGAAGGGAAATCTCCACTATGGGACACAGATGGCAATTAGGGGCTGCCTGGCTCTGCTAGTGCTTCTTTTGGGAAAGGGTTACCTGGTCATTTTCCCTTCTATGCAGCTGGTACATTTAAAATTTTCACTGATTGAGTGAAAAAAAATAAAAGTAGACTCGATGGACCGCTCGGTCTTTTTTCTGCCGTCGCTTTTCTATGTTTTTATTGTATGCATACTCATCATGATCTAGCTTCTTTATTGTTTCAGGATGAGAGTTCCTTGCTATATGGAGTGTATGGATCTGCTGCCCTGTGTCTGTGTTTGTAAAAAGGCTGTTCTCTGTTATTTACCACAGACTTAGTTTGTTATAGATAGGTACTTCCTGTCCCTGATAGCTGGGTCAAAAACCCCTATTGGAGGATTGTGATATATTTATAAAGGGGAGTTTACAGGAAGTTGACACTGAACTGAGCTACATGACCATAAAACACACAAGAGTGGCTGTAGCTGATGTTTTTCACACAGACCAGAAGCAGAGAATATTTGGCAAGTATTTTTGTGTTCTTATAGCTTAACTGCAGCTGTCCATAGCTTCCTAAAATGATACTAAAGCTTTTTTACCTTAATATATTCCTTGCATTAAGTTAAAATACATTTTCTATTTCTCTGCCCCCCTCTCCCTATGTGAAGGTGAAGAAAGAAGAGAATGGATTCAGCATTGTGCACAGCTGCATCTCTTCTCCCCTCTCTTCCTCTTCACATAGAAGAAGAAGGATAAAGTGGGGGTGGGGCTAAGTCCTGCTGTGTAAGTCTATGGAGCGTGACTCCATATACACACAGCTCGGGAGTGTGCAGACACTGTGTGCCTCCATAGCAAGTAGCCTGCTATGGGGACACACAAATAAGATGAGGAGCCAAGATTGCTGGTGGGGGGACCTGAGAAGAAGAGGATTAGGGCTGCTCTGTGCAATACCACTGCACAGAGCAGGTGAGTATAGCATGTTTGTTATTTTAAGCAAAAAAATATATTTTAGTAACACTTTAAGTTCTGAATCCTTTTGACAGATGTATCTCTGCCCTATTGTTATTATCTCACATGCACAGTGCCAGATAGCTAAGTCTGTGCTACTGTTTGTGTGTAGTGGTCACATTCCAGTATATTAATAGGTGAACCCAGGGCCGTGGATAAGGGGGTACGACCAGTCCTTCTGTACGGGGCCCAGGCCAGCAGGGGGGCCAAGGCAGCTGGGTGAATCAGATGTGGGCAGGGAGACTGATCGGCACGGTGGTAATTACTGGAACTGATGAATGGCTCTCTTTGAAGTAGCTGAAAGCTTCTCCTCCCCCTCCCGCTGGCTTTCAGCTGCTGCAGCAAGAGACATACAGGGGATCAGTTCCAGTAATTGCCCCCCCCTGGCTGTACCCATCACCCTCCCTGTGCACAATACATTTCCTCCTGCTGCTCAAGACCCCCCTGTGTGTCCCCACCGCCACAGTGCTGCCGGCTTCCCTCCTCTCCTTTCCACCGGCAGCTGCAAGCACACAAAAGGATCCTTCAGGATGGAGAGCAGGGGAAGGGTCTGATAAATATGTCACATCTACCAGGCCCTTCCTTTCCTGAATGAACACAATGAGTGATCGGTGCTGATTGCTCACTGTGCTCATTCATAAACAGAAGCATAGTAAACTGTGTTTCTTTTGTAGGAAGGGCCCTCTCAGGTTGGCTGTTTGGGGCCCTGTGGTTTCTAACAGCAGCCCTGGATGAACCTATTTATTACAATAGAGTTTATATGCAGTTCTTGTTACTTTAATTAACCCTGTCCCTCTGGTTTGGGATAGCTAGTTTTAGCTCAGGACTCAGTAACCAATATAGGCTAGAGCCAGGATGGGCATCCGATGGCCACTTTTGCAATTAGAGGTCCAGTTGCATGACAGATTAGAATCTACTAGTGACTAAGATTCATGGTAGATAGGTTGACTCGAAGCATCAGTGCCACACCACAGTTTCTGCTGGTGAGAAACTACATTCCAGGCTGGTCGGACAACGGCTGGAGGATCTCCTCATCACCACTGATCTTTTCTTAAGGTGTAGAATACCAAGGTAGATGCCACATCCTCAGGGGCCCCTGCAACTAGACTTTGATGCAACATTCATCTGGAGGTCTCTTTATTAATGACTATATTTATAACGGCTGACATTTATTTATTTATTTTAAGACCCTGTTTAAGGATATGAAACTGTTCCCTTATGTTCTGTAAGGTAATGATGTGTGCTCTTTGCAATTGTATTGTACTACCTGTTAAAAAAAACAATAAACAGTGTCTTAAAAAAAGACCCCCACCTGCCTTCTACATGTATTATGATCAAGCTATGCACTCATGTTGGGGTGAGAGACAGACGCCTTGATTGCTTGGTATATACCAGCCTCCATACAGGAAGTTGGACAGTCTGACTTCACTCCCTTTGTTTTATGACAAACTTTTTTTTCTTTTTCTGGTGCCAGATCTTCAACACATTAATTAATTGCTGTAGCCAATTAACTGTACTTGTGCAAATGAGTTTAGCACTAATTACCATGCAGTGCTTGCAATCACATAAAAAAAAACTTGCTGAGAAGAGGAAGGAATGAGGAAGACAGAGGGAAAGAGAGTGGAAAAGGGTATAGAAAAAATAGAGAAAGACTGTAATTTGAGAAATGGACAGATGGGTGACTTAGACTGAAGTGTGGGGGATGATAGTTTGCAGTATTAAAAGAAGGAAAGTGATTCTGTTTTAACAATTTGCTCTGTATTGTATATCTCTAAAGGGGGAGCCTATAAAAAATACACTTAGCCATTGTGAGTACAATATACAGTATCTTGCTCAATTGTAAAAAGCCAACCAAATTGTGAACTGAAGTCATACTTACAAAAAAGTATTCAGTCCAGCTGCCATTAACCACTCGCCCTCCAGAGGATTTACTGTATATGAAGAGACAAAAAGAGGGCGCACGGGCCTAGTGCATTACCTTTAAAAATGAGATTTTTTGCTAAAAAGTAAAATACTCGCAATAGAAATAAAATCAAATGGAAAGCATGTCACAAGAGATGCAGTGTGGTCCAAAACCCCTGAAGGTAGTCTGGTGGGGGACTGTAGACCTCTGGATAGCTGATGGCTGACACGTTTCGAGGTTGTACCTCTTCCTCAGAGCCAAACCCTCTTTTTGTCTCTTCATATACAGTTCTCTTTGGATTTCCCTGGTCCGTTGAAGGCAGCAAGGCTTGCATTCCGTTTATACACATGTGGGGATATTGACATTCTGGAGTCCATTGTCCAGCGCAGGAGCTCAGACATTCGGTTGCTTTTTTCTTCTTTCCAGAGGATTTACCCCCCTTCCTGACCAGGTCATTTTTTGCGTTACGGCGCTGCGTTACTTTACCTAACAATTGCACGGTCATGTAACGCTGCACCCAAATGAAATTTAGTCCTTTTTTCCCACAAATTGAGATTACTTTCGGTGGTATTTGATCGTCTGTGCATTTTTTATTTTTTGCGCTATAAAAAAAAAGACCAACAGTTTTTGAGAAAAAAACTATATTTTTGACTTCTTGCTCTTAAACATGTCCAGTAAAAAAATGTAAAAAATCAAATTTCGTCACAAATTTAGGCCAAAATGTATTATGTGACATGTCTTTACTAAAAAAAAATCCCAATGCTTGTAAATTAATTGGTTTACGTGAAAGTTATAGCATTTACAAACAGATACTGCAATTTTATTTTTTACTAGTAATGGCGGCGATCAGTGACTGGGGGACTGAGGGACTGCGGCGGGCATTCTAAGACTGGGGGGAACTGACTTGGTATCACTGACATCCCCAGTGACACCAATACAGTGTACAGTGCTAAAAAAAAACACTGACACTGTACTAATGGCACTGGGCAGGAAGGGGTTAACATGAGGGGCGATCAAAGGGTTACGAGGTGCCAGCGGGGAATCACCGGAGGGAACCCGGTGATTGACAGCTGCAGCCTCGAATGCTGGCACTGGTAGGGAGCGCACCCCCTATCCGGAAATACAAATCCACGTATATATACGTGATTTTGCGCACCCCTGCCACCCTGTAGCAGTATATCTGCTATAGGGTGGTCTGGAAGCAGTTAAAAGAAAAATGTACAAATATAACAGGCTAAATATAGGTAAAGTAGTGTAGCACTACCCCCTTAGGAGTTGTTGAAGACTTGGGTCCCCCTATGGTCCTGCACATGAGGGTGCTCCCCCTTCCCACACTTTTCTGGCCTGCCAGGGTGCATGTTTTGATAAGGGTCTGGTATAGATTTTGGGGGAGACCCCATGAAATTGTTTTTTTAAATTTTGGCATGGGGTTCTCTTAAAACTAATACCAGTCCTAAGGGTTTGGTATGGATTTTGGGTGGACCCCATGCCATTTTTTTAAACAAAATTTGGTGTGAGGTTCCCCTCAAATACCATAGCAGACCAAAAGGCCTGGTGTGGATTGGGGGAGAACCTCACACTGGGTTTTTATTCCACTGGCACTTTAGTTTACATTTTACTGTTAGCAGGGAATCCCACTGACAGCAAATTAGTCATGGTTGATGCGGTGGCCACCGGCTCCTTAACAACCACAGCTATTCACAATGAATATGGATCCGTCCAAAGTTTTACCAGGTGGATTAGAAAACTAAACTTTTCTAACAAATGTACAAAACAAATACCAAAGAAACAAATCCAGAAAGCAAACCAGGCCAGCAAAACTAAATCGAATAAACAAAATTATAAATCTAACAAATGCATCCGAAATGAAATGCAATGTTCTGGCGTGCATGTGTCTAGTCTTTGCAAAGTCCACAGGTTTGGCAGAGCAACGGCATAATCAGGATGAGGTCTTACTAATGCTTTATACAGGGGCAAAATGATCTCCCTCTTTCTCTGGAGTCCATACCTCTTTTAAAACAAGACATTATTTTGCTAGTTTTAGAAACTGTACGTTAGTGTTGCAAGTTATTATAAAATCTATGATCGACCAGAACACGCAGATTCTTCTCAACCATTCAGAGGCATAGCTTGAAGCTTGTGGGCCCTGATGCAAAAGTTGACCAGGGCCTCCTCCACTACCACCCGCCACTTCCGCTCCGTGCCAAGATACTCCCATTGTTTGCCAAGATAATCGGAGTGGCTAAGGAGTTTAGCAGCTGACAGATGATATCATTTTGTTTCCCTCCACCACAGGTCAGTGTTGATGGGGGAATCCCTCCTGCAGCGCTACTGTGTTCTGCCGCTCGGTGGGGAGCCTTACCTGTACCTGCTGGCTGAACACAATTGTCACTGCTGGTGGCTATAGCCGCTGACAGTAATTGCTTTTAAGAAAATATCTGACAGGCTGGCTATACTGATGTTGCTTGGTGGAGTGATAAAGAAAACTCTTTTCCAGCATGCACTGCTCCTTCTTGTGCACATACCCCCCCCCCCCCCATCCTGTATGCACTGCACTGTCCTGCGCACATTGCCCCCTACCTATACAACTGCCCCCTGCACACATCACCCCCCTCCCTACACGCAACTCGTATCCTGTACATAGTACCCACTCCTGTACACATTACCTCCTCCCTATACACAATGCCCCCTCCTGTACATATCACCCCCTCCTGTACATATTATTCACTCCCTGAACATATTACCCCGTCCCTGTACATATTACCCCCTCTTATACATATTATCCACTCCCTGTACATATTACCCCCTCCTATACATATTATCCACTCCCTGTACATATTACCCCCTCCTATACATATTATCCACGCCCTGTACATATTACCCACTCCCTGAACATATCACCCCCTCCTGTACATATTACCCCCTCCCTGTACATATTACCCCCTCCTATACATATTATCCACTCCCTGTACATATTACCCCCTCTTATACATATTATCCACTCCCTGTACATATTACCCCCTCCTATACATATTACCCTCTCCCTGTACATATTACCCCCTCCTATACATATTATCCACTCCCTGTACATATTACATCCTCCTGTACATATTATGGGCGGCACAGTGGCTTAGTGGTTAGCACATCTGCCGTGCAGTAAATGGGTTCAATTCCCAACCATGGCGCCTCCTGCATGGAGTTTGCATGTTCTCCCTGTGCTTGCTTGGGTTTCCTTCCACATTCCAAAGACATGCTGGTAGGTTAATTGGCTCCTGTCTAAATTGCCCTAGTTTCATCCCTGGCCAAACGGGATCTCCTGTATGGTAGGGGTTGGGGAAAGACCTGGCAACCTACCCTGTAAAATAATTGCTAAGAGAATTCATGGAAAAAGTCGCTTACGAGTGACAGTCCATGCAATTGCCAAGGGTCGAATACGACTGAATGGATAGAGAGAGAGTACATTTTATCCTCTCCTATACATATTAGCAGCTCCCTGTATATATTACCCTCACCTGTACATATTACCCCCACCCACCCCCATACATTTTACCCCCTCCCTGCACAAAATACCCCCTCCCTGAACAAATTACCCCCTCCTGTACATATTATCTGCTCCCTGTACATGTTACCCCTTTCCTGTACACCTTCCCCTCTCCTGTACATATTTTCATTCCGTATGCATATTATTACCCCCCTCCCTGTACATATTACCCCCTTCCTGTACATATTACCCCCTCCCTGTGCAAATTAAACCTTTCCTGTACATTTTACCCCCTCCAGTACATATTACCGCCTCCTGTACATATTATCTGCTCCCTGTACATATTACCCTCTCCTGTATATAATACCCCCTCCAGTACATATTACCCCATCATTTACATATTATCCACTCCCTGTACATATTACCCCCTCCTGTATATTTTATCTTCTCCTGTACATATTACCCCCACCTGTACATATTATCCACTCCCTGAACATATTACCCCCCCCCCCCCATAGATATTACCCCCTTCTGTACATATTACCTCCTCCGTACATTTTATCTTCTCCTGTACATATTATTCACTCCTGTACATATTACCTCCATATTAGCCCCCTCCTGTACATTTTATCCTCTCCTGTACATATTAGCAGCTCCCTGTATATATTACCCCCACCTGTACATATTACCCCACCCCCCCGTACATTTTACCCCCTCCTGACATATTATCTGCTCCCTGTACATGTTACCCCTTTCCTGTAGATTTTACCCAGTCCCTGTATATATTGTCCACGCCCTGTACATATTATCCCTTCCTGTACATATTACCCCGTTCCTGTACACTTTCCCCTCTCCTGTACATATTTTTCATTGCGTATACATATTACCCCCTCCCTGTACATTTTACCCCCTCCAGTACATATTACCCCCTCTTGTACATATTATCTGCTCCCTGTACATATTACCCCCACCTGTACATATTGACCCCCTCTTGTACATATTACCCCCCCCCCCCTGTACATTTTATCTTCTCCTGTACATATTATCCGCTCCTGTACATATTACCCTCCTATCTGTATATATTACTCCCTCCCTGTACATAATAACTCCCTCCCTGTACATATTACCCCATCCCTGTACATATTAACCCCCTTCTGTACATATTACCCCCATCCCTGTACATATTAACCCCCTCCTGTACATATTACCACCTATCTGTACATACTAACCCCCTTATTTACATATTACCCCCTCCCTGTACATATTAACCCCCTTCTGTACATATTAGCCCCCTCCTGTACATTTTATCCTCTCCTGTACATATTAGCAGCTCCCTGTATATATTACCCCCACCTGTACATATTACCCCACCCCCGTACATTTTACCCCCTCCTGTACATATTATCTGCTTCCTGTACATGTTACCCCTTTCCTGTACATTTTACCCAGTCCCTGTATATATTGTCCACGCCCTGTACATATTATCCCTTCCTGTACACATTACCCCGTTCCTGTACACTTTCCCCTCTCCTGTACATATTTTTCATTCCGTATGCATATTACCCCCCCTCCCTGTACATATTACCCCTCCTGTACATAAAACCCCCTCCCTATGCATATTAAACCTCTCTTGTACATATTACCCCCTTCTTGTACATTTTACCCCCTCCAGTACATATTACCCCCTCTTGGACCACTCCCTGTGCATATTATCTGCTCCCTGTACATAATAACCCCCTCTTGTACTTATTACCCCCTCCTGTACATATTATCCATTCCCTGTGCATATTACATCCTCCTGTACATATTATCTGCTCCCTGTACATATTACCCCCTTCTGTACATATTACCCCCTCCTGTACTTAATACCCCCTCCTATACATATTACCCTCTCCCTGTACATATTACCCCCCCCTGTACATATTACCCCCTCCTGTACATATTATCCATTCCCTGTACATATTACCAGCTCCTGCACATATAATCCCCCCTCCGGTATATTTTACCCTCTCTTGTACATATTACCCCCTCCCTATACATATTAACCTCCTCCTGTACAAATTACCCCTTCCCTTAACATATTAACCCCTCTTGTACATATTACCCCCTACTGTACATATTACCTCCTCCTGTACATATTACCCCCTTCCTTTACATAGTAACCTCAACTGTACATATTACCCCATCCCTGTACACATTACCCCCCTCCTGTAAATATTACCCCTTTTTCTGTACATATTACCTCCTTCTGTACATAATGCCCCCTCCCTGTACATTTTTCCCCTTCCCTGTACATATTCCCCCTCCTGAAAAAAATGCCCCCTCTTGCCCACATTTACCCCCTCTCTGTACACATTACCCCCACCCCATGCATTGCCCCCTCCATGTACACATTGACCCCCATCTCCCTACACATTGCCTACTTGCCCACTGTCACCAAAACTATGACTGAGATGTTGCACTAAGCACTGCTCAGCTTGGCAAGGGCTAAAGCTGATGCTGTCTTGCTGGGCTGCACATTGGAGATCCGTGCATTTCA